AATATTGCATAATATGAAAAATTTTAATAAAAAAAAAATAATATAAACAACTTTTGTTTTCTTTTTTGACTAATTTTTTCAAACACGTTTTTTTGACTTTTTCTTTATTTGAGTGTCAACTGCTATTCAAAAAAAAATTCCCTTATTTGCTTTTTGACAATAAAAATGGATTTTCTGAGATGCTGCAAGGCCTACCTTCAAATTTTAATGATTTCTCAATATTTTTGCTTAGAAATTTTTTTTTGTTATTATAACATAAAACAATTTTCTCAAATTTCCTTATTATACCGTTATTCCATACCGTCACCCCTGCTATTTTATGTTTTTTATACTTAAAGTGTAACTCTTTCCCTTACCTTCCGCACATTTTCGTTCACTTCATAACCGCCCCCGACTGTCTGCCACTATATACGCTCCCATAAACACATATTTTATTGACATATAATGAACTCTAATTACCGTTCATTAATGTTGATTTGATGATATGCTCGCCAGCATATCGCCCGCATGCCTTCTAGCAGTGTGTAAAGGAATATTGCCACCAACAACAATTCCGTGGATTGAATTCATTCTCATTCACGTAATAATTATGCACCTTGCCAGCACTTGCGGCAAGTGCACGCACGCACACGTCATTGCTTAAAACGTAAATAATCAAACACGGTTGTAGAAGAAAACTGCGTTCCGCAGTCAGCACTTTGCATATGGACTGCATCGAGTTCGTCGCTTAAGTCTTTCATCTCACGTATGCACTATTAAATAGTAATAACGGCAGTGTACCACTGAAGCGCGCAAATGCAACAAAAACACACGAGTTGTATATAAACGCACAACAATAACAACACAAGCAAAATACTACAACAAATTGGTAATAAATCGTTTTTGTTGCATCACTTGATTGCTGATGAGACACACACGTTGCACGTTCGACCGCATACCGCTCTAACAACACTAATCAATGAATATGAAAACGTTCTCGGACACACGAAATATTTAACAGCTATGCGAGTGGCCGCGCATACCGGATATACCAAGCAACAAACACACGAGAACACGCATGCTTGCTTATGCACAAGCCGAGGCTGAGTCGCTGCGCGAGAATTGGGTGTGGAGAGCCAACATTGTTGCCATGCTTAATTCACACACAGCTGCTCGCTTGAGTGCGTGTGTGTTTGTGCACTTTTTTGTTTGGAAATGTGTAACTTTTTCAGTCAAACTGTTAATGAAAATCTCACATTCATTTGTTAAGTGCTTGAAAGAAATATTTTAACTTCGCTTTGTGTTCGAAATACGTATCTCGTATGCCAAGCATTCGAGTATTTCACACATTACTGCAGTCATGATTGAGTTTTATAATGACCCGCCTGGGTGTAACATGCACCGCTAAGCATAACAAATGGCACTTGACTTGATTGCGCCAAATTCTGGTTCTGTGCTGAGCTCACCTTTCATACAATTTTATGTGGCTTATTGTCGATTTATGCTTTTTGGAAGACCTACAAATCAATTTAGAAGCACTTTTATTGTCGAATTAAGTGGTGAAAGACAAGGGACTTATGTAAGCGAGTGTTTTGGGTTGAAAAGCAACAATATTTATTGAGTTAACGGCACTATTGTAATTTAAATCAATTTTCTTGCTGAGCTGTTTAAGAGATATGATAATTATTTTATGCCAAGGCCTGTGATGTTGGTCTTAAGTTGGCTTTTTGAATTGAAAATGTAGGCTTAATTTTTTGCTTGCTGTGTAGTTATGATTTTGTTTGCTGGTGGTCCCTTTCTTGATTATTGAAAGGAATTTTGATTAATTTTTTTAGCATTTAATACAATTAAGTTAAGTTTTATTTATTTTATTTAGAGTTTTTGGACTACCTGAGGCTCCTTATGGAGTAATATTTGTTTTTAGATAAGAGTTTAATATCTGGAACTTATTTTTTCTCACTTAATAATATTCATAATATAATGATACGTTTCAAAAGAATTAATATTGCTGAAATAATCCTCCAGGGTCAATTAAGGAACATGTTTAGTGCGAAAATAGCAAAACAATTTTTATACATATTTCAATAGCTTTAAATTGATTTCTCAAATTCCTTAGTTCCATTAGCTCAATTAGCTCAGTCACTTATTCTCTAAATTTCTTCTGTTGTTCTGTATATCGTTCTCAATACAGTGGCTTACCACACCAATGCTTTTTAGGTGATTTTTTTTAAATGCTTTTAATGGTCACAATCTGTTCACCTATCACACCAAAACATTTCAGGTGAAATAATTTTTTTAAACGCCTGCATTCACCAGTTTTTGATTTCTTTTTGACCATCATAATCTAATCAAGTAATTTCCTAATATTATTTTTAAGTTAATTGATTTATTGGAGTTATATTCTTCAAATTACAACTCAACTGAACTTAATTGAGTGTCATACATTTTAAAGCTTTTCAAACTGGACTATATTTTCACAATTAACAACTGCCGTTTTTAGACATCACTATTTGCTAATTGACTCAAAGCAACTGGTATATGTAAAACAGCGAATGATTTGTTATAAATTAAATATAGCTTGAATGAAAACTTAACTCCAAAATATTTGTATAAAATAATTGAATTAATTCAGTCTTTGGATATTAGAAAATTAATTAAAAATCGTATTTAATTAAGTTCAATTTAATTTAAGTATTTGGTTTTGCGAAATAAAATCCATTTTTGTTAATTTAATATTGATCTTAAATAAATTTACTAATTTTTGTATTAGACTAATTTGGTTTAAATTAATTTTTTTTTTTGTTTTATTTTTACGAACTTATCTATTTTTATAGTCATAAAATTAGTTGGAGTCTACTCAATTTAGTTAAATAGCACTCCATCAACTAAATAAACTTATTTATTTTTAAAAAATTAATTTAAATAAACTCAAATTGACTCAATTTTGTTAAATTGCATTCAATTAACCGAATCAACTTTTTTTTGTAGTCATGAAATTAGTTTAAATTGACTCAATAAATTAAATCAACTTATTTTAAAGTTAAGAAATTGGTTCAATTTGACTCAATTTATTTTAATTGTATTCAATTAACTCAATCAACTTATTTGCTTTTTATAGTCATAAAATTAGTTTTAGTTTCCTAAATTTCGTTAAACTTAATCTAATAAGTTTCTTTGGTTCTTATCGAATTAAAAAAATGTTTTCTTTGTATTTGACTTTTGTGCTTCCATCCCCAGCACCCATTAAAGTCATTTTCCATATTCCATCCTACCATTTGACTGCCATGTGTATCTCTCATGCATATTCAGAACAAAGTCACATTCTCTTTAGTTAAATGCAAAATGCCATTAACTTAACTTACCTTTGTTAACTTTGGAACAAAACAAATTCTCACTTCCGCGCCAACACCTGCAATCCTCAGCTGACTGCGTACTTGTCACACTTGCGAGTTCACTGTCAATTTTTTACTTTCCCGTCGAGTATTTTTATTATCTTTGTAGTCTCGTAACTTTGCTGCTGTCAGTTCTTAAATGCGTAACGTGTGAAGAATCGCGTGGAGAAAGTTTTTACTACTGGGCTCCGCAACTGCAATTATACAAGCACACATATGAACTGGTTTAATTAGAATTGAATTAGCATTTATTTAACACGAGAGGGACATATGTCGCGTTGCAAGGTTTTGCATTTAATGTGAATATATACAAATGTAAGTGCTAAGTGTGTGTTTGGGTATTTAAGAATTAGTAAGAATTTAGAAAGTCGGAAGATGTGGCGAATTAAAGGCGAAAGCTTGGCTATCCAGCGTTGAGGAAGGTTTATGTTAAAAACGGGGTTAATCACACTAAGAGTGGAGGATTTATTAAGCTCTTCGGTTACAACTTGAGTAGTTACGGTCGATCTTAAAAGTTATTATTACTTTTTTTAATATTGGTATATTTTTTGAAATTTTTTTGAAATGCATTTTTCTTTTTTAATTTCAATATTATATTAATTTTTTGTTTCGCTTTTTTGTTTTTTGTTTTTAT